AGAAAGACCAGAGGGTGAAGGGGAACAAGAAAGGCATATTCTAGTTGAGTAACAAGAAGGCTGATAATATGATCCCACCACCAGTTACTCCATGGGAGATACATCCTGGCCATCTGCTGCCATCTTGGAAATCCCATGTGGATAGTTCTCTGTCCTATAGCGTCACTATGTTGTTGTTGTTGTTGTTATGTGCCGTGGAGTCTGTTCCGACTCATAGCGACCCTGTACAGGGTTTCCGAGGCTGTAAATCTTTATGGGAGCAGAAAGCCTCATCTTTCTCCCGAGGAACAGCTGATAGTTTCGAACTGCTGACCTTGCGGCTCGAAGCCTGATTCATAACCACTATGCTACCAGAGCTCCTTATAGCGTCACTATAGGACAGTTCTTTGCTAATATCTGTTGGACTGCCATGTACAAAGGGAGTCTCTGGGTGGGGCAAATCGTTATTGTGCTTTGCTGCTGACCAAACGGTTGGAGGTTCAAATCCACCCAGAGATATCTTAGAAGAAAAACCTAACAATGTACTACTGATAAACCAGCTATCGAAAAATCTATGGGACACTGTCTACTGGGGTGTGCATGGGGTGGCCATGAGTCAGAGCAGAGTCTGTGGTGGCAACTGGTGTTGGCCATATACAAGAGGGATTGAGTGAATTTTGTATAGTCCTGGGTGGGCGGGGGAAGGGAGACTGGAACCCAAAGCAGCAGCTTCCAGGGGGCAGATTTGGATTTTGGCCAATACATAGAATTGTTGTTGTTATTGTTAAGTGCCGATGAGTCGGTTCTGACCCATAGCGACCCTGCATTGGGTTTCCAAGGAGCAACTGGTGAGCTTGAACCACCGAGCTTGTAGTTCAAACGGCTTTGCAGTCTGGCACATTAACTCATAGAATGCTAGCTGCTGATGACAGTGACCCGTCTCTGTAGATGGTCTTATTGTTAGTGGTTGTTGTTGTTGTTAAGTGCCGTCGAGTTGGTTCCGACCCATAGCGACCCTGTACAGGGTTTCTGAGGATGTAAATCTTTACAGGAGTAGAAAGCCTCATCTTTCTCCCGCGGAGCCGCTGGTAGTTTCGAACCACTGACCTTAAGGTTCGCAGCCCGATTCATAACCACTACCCTACCAGAGCTTATTTATTATAAATATTGGACCTCCACATGCTGGGATGTTGTATAAGGGGCTCCAGCCTGTAGTCACATGCTGGTTTCTTCATTCAATTAATTAATTGACTAGCTAAATAGTTTTTAGTACCTACTACTTGCCAAGCTTCACCATCCGTCTGTCAGTCTGTCCTATTGGTACTGCGGTGGATTACATGTTGCTATGATACTGAAAGCTATGCTGCTGGGATTTCAAATACCAACAGGGTCCCCCATGGTGAACAGATCTCAGCAGAGCTTCCAGGCTAAAACAGATTAGGAAAAAATGCCAGGCGATCTACTTCTGGAAATTAGCTGGTGAAAACCCTATGGGTCACAACACAATGTTGTCCAGGGCAACGTTGTAAGAAGCCAAGCTCTTAGTCGTCCATGGGCATCCAGTTCTGTGACTCTTTGATGCTCTGCAGCTGAGGTGCTCCCGTTTGCTCAAGGGCAATCCAAGCCACAGAGAACTGGGGCGAGGTGCACAAAAGCACACACCAAGGACGCCGTGGGCCTTTCATTCTCTCTGAGCCTCTTCCTTATCTACTCTCCCTTCTGACTTTTTCAATCATCTCTTTTTTTTTAGCAAACAACAACAAAGAAAAATCAAAGAAACGAAGTCAAGCTCTACCAGACCGTCTTGCCTTGGTGAGCGTGTTTGGATAGAGTGCACAGTTAGTCAATATTGGCCTGAGAAATGTGCTCTCCTGACTCTGGATAAATTTCAGCCAGCTGTCCCTTTCATCTGCAGTCTCCCAAATCTCCCCAGATATCCGCAGGCCAAGACAGGTGACGAGTGAAGGCTGATATTCAGATTTCTTGCAACACATGGCTATCTGATGACAAGGGGGGATGGGAGGGAATGGCTTCAGATTCTTCAGATTCCAAAAATGACTGGGAAACCCCACATCTCCAAGAAAGTCTGCTGAAGTCTAAACATTCCTTAATTTCTCTGCTCTGCCTAAGCTATCCAGCTCCAGCCGGCCACTGCTTCTCTGTAATGTGTCAGGCTTGCAAGACATAGCAAAAGCAAACTGGAGGCTATGTAAGACTGTCTGACGCTGTTGAAAACTTCTGTTGCAAAACTGCTTTGTAATTTCTGAAACTTCCAGGGTCAGAAGTGGATTGTTGTTGTTAGGTGCCATCGAGTTGGTACCGACTCATAGCGACCTTATGCAGAGCAGAATGAAACACTGATGGATCCTGGGCCAACCTCCAAATGGAAGAAAATCTTAATGGCTTTCGAGTATGAGGAATATAAGAAGCAGATGGTGTCACACTGCAGCAGGCTTTGGCTTCTGGGCTGCAGGCTTCCTGGATAAACATTCCCAAAGCACTAACCTTCTCATGAGATGATTTCTTTGGGCCAGATTGGACCTTGAGTGTCCCTAGCTGATGCAAATGGTTAACACATTGACCTGTTCACCAGAAAGTTGGCAGTTTGAGTCCACCCTACTGAAAACCTATAGAGCACAGTTCTTCTCGAACACACACGGGGCCTCTGTGAGCTAGAGTTGGCTTCACAGCAACTGCTGGTACTGATGATGATGATGCTAAACCATAAGTGGATGAGAGTATAGCTCAACTTTGTCCTCTCTTAGTTTGTTCTGTATGCCGGAAGAAAGTTGGAAAATGGAATGGGACCATTATTATTTATTGTTCCTATCCTGAGATGTATTTTTAGCACCTAGACACTACCTGGCACATCATAGGTATTCAACAAATATTTGCTGAATGGAAAAATGTTTGTTGAATGGAAGAAAGAATCCATTTTTGTATCCTATGCACTTCCTGAATAGAGCCCCTGGGTATTACAGATGGTTAATCACTAACCATAAAGTAGGCAGTTCAAACCCACCCAAAGATGCCTCAGATGTTGGCCATGGTGATCTGTTTCCTAAAAGTCACATCTTTAAAAACCCTAGTCACCAGTTCTACTCGCATAAACTGACTTGGTAGTAAGTAACATAGTAATATATACAAGGAGATTCCTCTAAGTTCTCGTCACTTCATAGACCATAAATGGGTGCTGCTTGAAACCAAGAAAGAAAAGCAAATGAGACTTTGATCAATAAATAAAACTGGAGAGGGAAATATCAACTGGAGAGGTAGGAAGAATGGAGGAAAATCAATATGGCGGGTGGGCTGTGTGCAGTGTTTGGGAAGGTGCCGGGGTCCTGCGTACATTCCAGGAAGTGTCCTCACTGGGAGACAGGAGTAGACCTAAAGTTTCTCCAATGGCCTTGAGTCTCCATTTCACTTTGAACCATCTCCAGTGGAGATTTTGCACTGCTTTCTCCAAGGACAAGACTTTTGTCCTAACATCCAGCATTTCTTCTCTTTTCTGACCCTTCAGTTCTTTATTACTAGTTTCATTCCTGGGGAGTGGCAGGGGATTTGGCAAAATTCCATCTTCCAAGCTTGCTCTGCTCTGGTCCACATCTTTATCGCTTTTATGGGCTTGAATGTGACTAAAATCAACAAGACTTTTAGGGAATCAAAATGGAGATTTTTCTAAAAAGTGAACAGTGTTTGCAGAACTAAGAGCCTTTCTGGTTCTGTGTAAATAGGGCTCCAGGTAATTTGGAAATTTTGTGTATTCCCTTCTGGCAACTGCAATTGATTTAGCACTTGGAGTCAGAGAGAGTTCTGTTAATGATCAGGAAGGCTTGCATTATTCCATTAGTAAATGAGGCTTAATAATAACTTTTCATCTTAAAAAAATATCCCCTCCCTTTCAATTAATGAGGCCTACTTTGCAGCAAAATCATGTAGGCCTATTTGCAGGAGTATGAGTTGCTTAGCTACAGGAAGTGACTTGATGACTTGCCTCCATGATCTCTTAACAGAGACTGTAGACCCTCCTTCAAATGTTTAATCAGGGTTGGCAAAGGAGAGTTTTGAGAACTATAGGCAAAGATGCACAGCTCCTGTGGATAATAGGATAAAGCATGAAAAAAGGGGTAAAGAGAGGAGGGAAAGCAATTATAAGAAGAGAGAGGGAAGGATGTGGACAACTTCCAGAGCCAGCTCAGTTGCTACTCAACCCAATGGCTGCCATCTTTCTCTGAAGACATTTATTATTAGCACTGGAGCTCCTGTGTGGTGCTAATGGCTAAATGCTTGGCAACTCACTGAAAGGTTGGTGGTTTGAATCCACCCAGAGGCCTCTCAGAAGAAAGGTCAACTACTTCTGAAAGATCAAAGCCATTAAAACTCTGTGGAATCCAGTCCTACTCTGTTATGAGTTGGAATAGAATCCTCGGCAAATGGCTTACATGTTCCTTTCTTTTTTTTAACCACTGGCACTAAGTGATATGGTTCTTCATTGGTTAGTGGCTCTTCCCTGACTTAACGAGATGTGTCTGGGACTCTGGTATGGAAGCTGGGCCCAACAGGAAAAATCCCTGTTCTATAGAAGCAAAGGCAAAGAATGGAGTAAGGCGAGTGGACCCTTGGCCAGAACGAAGCCATCCTGCAGCAAAGGTTGTTTTTACTTTCTTCCAGCCATCCAGTTCTCCTGTTGGGAAGATGAAGTGCATTCATCAGGACCCTGGATGAAATATGTGGCTAGTGAGCCCATCAGCATGTATGGTTTTTTGTTTCGTTAGAAGCAATCCTCTTGGATCTAACCCCAGCTAATACCCAAGTATCAAAACTAGGGTTTTCAACCAGAAGCTCCATCATGAATAGTGACACCCTGAAGACCTGCTGCTACAACCTTAATATTTGTCCATGTTTGTCTTGTCCTATGACACCAGCTTGGTGCCTAACCTAGAAGCTCAACTGCTCCATGTCCCATTTCATAAAACCCATAAGTGCTTTGGGCCTGGATTGGTAGTTCCAGGTGGCCTTACCCTTTGAACCTTTGTGTGGTTCTGATTTGCTGAATGGAGAGTCTTTCTCGGTAATCTTGTCTTCTGCTGTCTCCTTGTTTCTGTCTTGAACACCCTGGGCACCTTCTCCCTTCTGCAGCTCTTGTCCTAAAGACGAATGCTGGTCTTCAGGCAAATCCTCTCTTCTCCAGTTCTCCTTCTTCCTCTCACAGGGAGCTCTAAACACAAAAGAAGCCTGCCATCAAGAGTGGTGTTTGAAGTGAGTCAACAGCTCCCAAGGAGTGGCCTGGCATGGAATTCCCCAAGCTCATAAAACATGGTTTAATCTGGAATGAAGACAATTTGATGGTCCACATGAGCATTTCCTGAATGATTCAGACGTACAGGATGAGTTCTGTTCCAAAGACCATCTTTTAGTTGAATTTGTACGTCAGAACAATTAGTTGAATTTGTAAGTCCGAACAGTTGGGTATGGTTCATATCTATTGTGAGTGAGCCAAATGTTTGTCTTGGTGTAGGGAGTTCTGGTAGCATAGTGATTACAAATCAGGCTGCGAACGCAAGGTCAGAAGTTCAAAAATTACACGGGAGAAAGATGAGGCTTTCTGCTCCCATAAAGATTTACAGCCTCGGAAACCCTGTACAGGGATGCTATCTATGAGTCGGAACAGACTCCACGGCACATAACAACAACAACAACACAGTGTATAGAGTAACTTTCTGGGCATAAAAACACCAAAGAAACACTTTCAGATACACTAAAACATCATTAACACTCCAATTAAAGTTAAGTGCCGTCGAGTAGGTTCCGACCCACAGAGACCCTGTATAAAGCTTCTGAGGAGGGGCTGGTGATTTGAACTGCTGACTTTGAGGTTCAAACTGACCTTGCAGTCCAGTACATTATCCTGCAGTGCCACACCAGGACTTCAAACACACCAATACAGCAGTAATAGCCACGATGTTTTAATACAAAGTAGAACCAGTTTATTAATATGAGCTATTGTATGCATCTCAGCATTTAAATATAATAGCCTTTACAGGGCTTGATTCATAACCCCAAGTTGTATGTAAGTCAGACATTTACAACCCAGGGACTGTCTGCATTTATTTTTATGTAAATTAAATTTTTAATGGAACTACAAATATATATGAATAGGAGGGAAACGGTTCTTGAGGAAGCGCCTGATGAAGAAGCCATTGAAGAGCTAGCATTTCACCTTTTTCCTAGGATCAGCATTGGACTGCAAACCACGAGGTTGGTAGTTCAAACCCACCAGTTGTTCCTTGGCAACTTTATACAGGGTCACTATGGGTTGGAACTGATTCGAGGGCACTTAACTTTAACTAATCGGAGTGTTAACAATGTTTTAGTGTATCTGAAAGTGTTTCTTTAGTGTTTTCATGCCTAGAAAGGTACTCTAACATTATACACCAAGACAAACATTTGGCTCACTCACAATAGATATGAACCACACCTAACTGTTCCGACTTAACGTACATGTCTGCATTGTTCTGAAAAAGTTCACGCGGAACGTTTTGATGGCACTTAAAAGCAATAACAGTTCATGTTTTGTAAGTCAGTCTGGGTATTTCTTTTTTTGTCCCATTTCACATGTTTATTTATTGAATTACTCTCAGCAGTCCTTCCCCGGAACTCCTACCCTCCTAGAGGACTCCTCCTTGCCACTTCCTTTAGGGTGTTGTTGAAACCCTCTCATTCCCACTCCAGGCTTAGTCCCGCCTTCTTTCTGGTTTCAGGTACCTTGTGAATATCTCCATATCTGGAATAACCAATTGTGTTTTAGAGCGCTGGTGGGCACTAACAGTTAAGCATTGGACTTAAGCACATAATCATCATCGGTTCAAATCCACTCAGTGGTTCCATGGAGAAAGATGACAGCCATTCTAATGGAGCAATTCTACTCTGCCACGTGTGTTCTCTGTGAGTTAGAGTTGACTTGATGGTACCCAACAATAACTGGGTTGTACTGGTCAGTTTTCATGCCTGTCTTCAATTCTAAGTCAACCTGGAGACCACAAACAGTCTGTCTATTTGCTTATCCATGTGTTCCCAGCACCTGGCAAAAAATACATAACCAATCCACATTTTTTGTATGGATGGCAAATTATTAGGTTGAGATAAAGTCAGTGGGGTAAGAGGGGTGATAGTCAATTCAAAATAATACCTATGAGGGAGAGTGGGGTCATTTAGAATATATCCCAGATCCACAATGATGACCTGGGAGCAGCAAGGAAAGGGTATGCTTCCGTACCCACCCACGAGAACGTCCTCTGGAAGTGGTCCTGGCAGTTGGACCAGAGTGAGGACTCAGAAAGCAGGACATGATTTTGCTCTGTGGTGCACCCATCTACAGAAATACCAAGTGGTAGCATCTCTGTTTTGTTGTTTTTTTCCCCTTGAAAGTCAAAACCATGTAATCTGAAAGCCAGCACCCCAGAGGTGGTGATTAGAATGGTTGGGGATTAAGAGAGAAGAGAGTCATTCAGCATCCTAGTGCCAACATCCGCCATTGAACCAGCCATGCTAATGCTGACCAGAAACCTGACTTGTTCTTCCTTCTTGCCATCCAAATAAAGAGGAGACTGCATTCCTTTTCTTTTATGAGTCTCAACTTGATGGCTTTTGAAGCTGTGGTTTCTGAAGTCTCTACCCACTTCCATTCTTTCCTCTTGCAAGACCACACTGAGGCAGTTTATGTGCGGCACAGTGGTGAGTAACAGGGCTGTTCTTAGGAAAACAAAATTCTTCAGCTAACAGGAACATCTGCTCTGTATCTGCTCACTAGATTCTCCCAACCTTTTGAACAACCTGTGACATTTGAACGGGCAGCCTTAAGGTTTATTTCAGTGCATGAAGGAAATTGACACTCAATACTTTCCGACTGTAGCCAGTTTCAGGATTTTAAAGAGCCCTGATCACTTTGGGGTTCTTGTGTACAAAGCCTTACCATCTACCAGAGTAAGAGAAGCAGATGATCATGAACCCACAGGAATCAATTAAGTCGAGAAAATTCTAGCACTTAAAAAATTATATTCATTAAATGTCAGAGGGAAGGAAATAAAATTTCAAGGGCCCCAAGTCAAGAAACCAGTGGAGAACTGACCCGATGACCATCTGTTTCCAATCAAATGTGTTTATTATCTTTGCATCTTGTTCCTGTTGGGAAATATCTTTTGTCGTCATGAAAGCTTATTTATACAAGTTTATCTGACTGTTTTCTTTCACACACAAGCAGTGAGAGCTAATTCTTCACTTTGACTCTGAAGGATGCCATTTGGGGGCTCTAGGATGGTATCTTGATTCACTCAACGCTGTCTTTTGTGCCTGGGAGGTGCAAATGGGTTACCCGCAGCTACCAACCTGAAGATTAGAGGTTTAAAGCCATCCAAATACACCATGGAAGAAAGACCTGGCAATTTCCTTCTGTAAAGATTTCAGCCAAGAGAAATCTATGGAGCAGTTGTACTCTGCAACACACGAGGTCTCCATGAGACAATACAGACTCAACGGCAACCTGTTGAATGGATTATGATGTCCTGTAATCTTTGCTAAGTGCTGGAGGTACAGTGGTAAGTAGCCAGTCAGGAAATAAATAATGTAAGTACTACAGTGGAACTGCAATGGAAGGTCAGCGGTTCAAACCCACCCAGATGCTCGAAGGGAGACAGGCCTGATAATATGTACCCATAAAAATTACAGCTAAGAAAACCCTATGGGGCAGTTCTATTCTCATTGAGAAGCAACTGCATGGCACCTGAAAGCAACAGCAAAATCATTGTTATTTGTGAAAGATGCTAGAGAGGAAATCAACAAAGGAGACAGAGAAAGAGAAGAGCTGTCAAGAACAACCCTTAGATTGGGTGGTCAAGAAGCCCTCTTTGGACAAAAGCGTTTGGAACTGAGACCTTAAGGAAAAGAAGAAGCCATTCAAATAGAAAAGGAAATGACTATTCCAGGCAGAGGGAATTATAGTCCCCACCCCAACCCCTCCGGGTGTTGCAAATGATGAATGCACTAATTGCTAACTGAAAGGTTGGTGTTTCAACTTCACCCAGTGGGGCCGCAGAAGAAAGGTCTGGCAATCTACTTGACTTGGCAGGAACAGGAACTGGAAAGTCCATATCCACTCTGAATGTATTAACTGAGGAGACCTGTTAGCAAGCACTAGATAGAAATGAAGATGTCTCTTGCCAAGAAATTTCTTGGCAGGGTGAACCATATAACATATTGTTATAACTCTAAAAATAATGATAGACCCACTGGGGAGAACAGGCTGTGGATCTCGAGGCAAGTGGAGCCTGGGGAATTAGAATGATTTCAAGGGCTGGCAGTAAATCTCAAGGATTGTCTAGCATATGGAATTAAGCACCAGGGGTTTTCTATTTTGCAACCCCTTGTCTGGTCAAACTTGATTCCTGTGTTGGAATTAAAGTACCAGATGAAATGCAGGCTTCCTGGGTAGTGTAAATGGCTTATGTACTCGTTGCTAACTGAAAGGTTGGTGGTTCAAATCCACCCACAGTCCTCTTGGAAGAAAGATTTGGTGATCTGATTCTGAACACACAGCCATTGAGAACCTCATGGAGCACAGTTCTACTCTGACATATCTGGGGTCCCCATGAGCCAGAGTCAACTGGACCACAACTGGTTTTAGATGAGGTGTGGATGCAGGGAACCCTAGGTCTGCATGAGCTGAGACACCCAGAAAGGAGAGAGAGGATCCTGACGCTGAGAGAACAATCTGCTTCTTTACCATGGTCCTTTGTGTTCCAGGGAGCGGAGCTGGTTCTACAGAAAACTGATTTCTCTGCAGTCAGCACGGGAAGCAGTGAACAGAGAGAGGTCCCTTAGCATTGCTGCCGCAGCAATTCTTTGCCTATTATTTTCGGCAGCTTGTTTGCTTTTCCAGGGGCCTGCCCACGTTCGAGCACATGCCGTCCCATCCTTAGCCCTGCTTATCTCTTCTGTTTGGTGTTCTCAAGGGGTGCGTGTGCTTTTAGGAAAAATATTATTTGGATGGCTGGTGAGCTGCCTGCAAAGCAAAGCGTTCGCTCTCCAAGTTATCCCAGGGAGCTGATTGGAAAGGAAGGCGGATATCTGGATTGTAAGTCTAGAATCTCAAAGCTGTGCAGGGGAAGGTTGTTAGAAAGATGTTTTGGAGACAGAAAGACCTCAGCTCAGTTCTTAAAAACAGTGGCCCATAAATCAATTTTGAGTGTCAGAGCAGAGCTGTGCTCCTTAGAATTTTCAATGGCTACTTGTTTGGGAAGCAACCAATCACATTATTGTCTATTGAAAAAAATGCTCGTATGTACACCTGCAACAATTCAGTTATTAGGTAAGTCCATAGACTTCTGGTGTGGCTCTGTAGGATCAGCACTGGACTGTGAACCACAAGGTGGGTGGTTTAAACCCACCAAGTACTCCTTGGAAACCCTATACAGGGTTGCTTTGAGTCGGAACCAACTCCAATGTACTTAACAGCAACAGCATATGTACATTGGCAGGGAACTGCCCGAGGTTCAAGCCTGATTCAAAAGAGGACATGGAATGAGGGAGAGCATTGTTGATGCCAGGTGGATCTTGGCTGAAAGCAGAGAATACCAGAAAGATGTTTACCTGTGTTTTTTGGCTGCACAAAGGTTTTTGATTGTGTGGATCAAGACAAGCTATGAACAACTAACAGAGAATGAGTATTCCAGAACACTTAATTATGCTCATGAGAAACCAGTATATAAATCAAGAGGCAGTTGTTTGAAAAGAACAAGGGGGCATTGAATGGTTTAAAATTAGGAAAGGTGTGCACCAGGGTTGTATTATTTCACCATACTTGTTCAATCTCTATGCAGAACAAATAATCCAAGAAGATGGATTATATGATGAAGAACATGGCATCAGGATCGGAGGAAGACTTATTAACTACCTGTGATATACAGATAATACAACCTTGCTTGCTGAAAGCCAAAAAGACTTAAAATGCTTACTAATCAACATTAAAGATCACAGCCTTCAGTATGGGTTGTGCTTCACTGTAAAGAAAACAAAAATCCTCACCACTGGACCAATAAATAACATCAGGATAAATGGAGAAAAGATGGATGTCAAAGATTTCATTTTGCTTGGATCCTCTACCAATGCTCACAGAAGCAGCAGTCAAGAAATCAAACGATGTATTGAATCAGGCAAATCTTCTGCACTAACCCTCTTTAAAATGCTCACGAGCCCCTGACCCAGCCACTGGTGTTTTCAGTAGCCTCAAATGCACGTGAAAGTTGGACAACAAATAAAAAAGACCATAGAAGAATTGATGCATTTGAGTTCTGCTGTTGGAGAAGAATATTAAAAGTACCATGAACTCCAGAAGAACAAACCAGTCTGTGTTGGAAGAAGTACAATCAGAATACTCCTTAGAAGCCAGGGTATCAAGACTCTCATATGTCTCTCATACTCCGGATGTATCAGGAGGCTCCAGTCCCTAGAGAAGGACCTCATGCTAGGTAAAGTGAAGGGTCAGTGAGAAGAGGAAGGCCCCCCACGAGTTGGATTGGCACAGTGGCATCAGGAATGGGCTCAAGCAGAGCGGCAGTTGTGAGGATGACACAAAACCCAGCAGTGTTGCCTTTTGCTGTGCCTAAGGTCGCTAGGAGTTGGAACCGACTTGATGGCATCTTAAAGAACTGCACAGACTGCTAACCAAAAGGTTGGTGGTTCAAACCCACCAGCTGTTCCTCAGAAACCCAATCCAGGGTCACTATGAGTAGCTGCCTATACACCAAGAGTTTGCAAACAGAGACAGTTCAGCCATGACTACTATACACTTATTATAATCTTTATGAGAGCAGACCTCTAAGTTCTCATACAGAGTCACTGTAAACAGCCAGCTCAGCACTTAACTGCTGTGCCACCAAGGACCCTTTTGGAGAAGATTAGTATTGTAATTGTGGGAAGTAAAGGGAAAAGAGTCCATTGTAAAGTTCCAGTGGTGCAATTATGGAGTACTGGTGTGATGCTGTAGGATAAACACTGGGCTGCTAACCACAAGGTCAGCACTTCAAACCCACCATTTGCTCTCTGAAACCATATACAGGGCCTCTATGAGTTGGACCCAACTCGATGGCACATGACAACAGCAGTTACAATGGTGCAAAGGTTAAGTGCTTAGCTGATACCCAACACATCAGTGGTTTGAAGCCACCAGAGACTCTGGTTTTCTCTGTGGGAGAAAACACCCATACAGATGACACCCTAGGAAACCCTGTGGGCAGTTCTACTCAGTCAAACAGAGGCGCTGTGAATAGGATGACTGGATGGCACATAACAATCACACCACAACAATCTCAACATGGTATTTTGAATTCCCAACAAGGTCACGATAGATCATGAATCAGGCTTGGTGGAGAGAGAACAAGGGTTTCTAAATTCCTAGAGGCTTCCTTTAGCACATAAAGAGCCAGTCTCTTATGAGCAGACAGAGGAAATGACTTATGGGAAATTTCTGTGCAACAGGAAGAGGAAGTAGCAAACATTGCCACAGGGGGAATCTGAGAAGGGGTTGTCTCTTTCCCCAGCCTTCTTGCCCCTCCCCAACAGGCTTAAGCAACATTGGGGCAGGTGGTGAAGAGACACTAAAACTCCTCACAGAAACCACAGGTGATCTTGGCTGTTCCTATGTCTGTGTTCCTACTGTGCCCACCACAGTGTGGACCTGGTGGACCGGCCAGGGGAGGTGGGTCTAAGACAGCTCTGGGTCCTTCCGAGCCCTGAGTGCTGCTGGTCTCTCCAGTGGGCAGAGGAGGGAAACCAAGGTACTGAGAGCAGCTGTGTCTTAGCAGAGACCTGTGGTTGGGGCAAGGGAGTAAGAAGCCACAAAGCAACAGAGATTTGAAGGACCACAAGGATGCCAGCAGGATGCCCACGAAGGGCAGCGAGATCAGCCATGCCTAAGTCAACACCAACCAGGGACATTTAGGGACAAGGCCAGGAACCCTGCCACAAGGAGATGGCAGCTTCCCTCTGCACACAAACACTGTCCTGGGTAGGACGGGAGAGAGAGGTGACCCCCGGGGAGGAAAAACAGCATCTGAGCTGAGCAAATTCACAAGAAAATGCTTTAAACAGAAGCAGAATAAGTGACTTTTAATTGGCAATTGTAATTTTCCCCATCATTAGTAGGAATGGGGCCTCCAGATTATGAAGACAGCAATGACAAACAATAGCTTCATTTAAAAAAATATAAATAGGCCTGAGGTATAAATGTTGAATCCCCTTTCCCTGTTGTTGTTAAGTGCCCTCGAGTTGGTTCCTACCCATAGCCCCCCTGGACAGCACTTCTGAGCTTGGCAGTCTTCGTGGGAACAGAAAGCCTCATCTTTTTCCTGCCCTTGTGGTTAACAGCCCAATGCTTATCCTACAGAGCCGTTGTATTCCCTGTTGTGGTTGTTGTCGTTGCCATGTGCCATTGAGTCACTTCCGACACATAGTGAGCCTATCTACATAGGGTTTCCAAGAGCAGCTGGTGGGTTTGAACTGCCAACCTTGAAATGAACACAATTAGCAGTCCAGTGCTTATTCTACAGTGCCACACCAGGTGTCCCTTTGATGTTGTTGTTAACTGCCATGGAATCTGTTCTGACTCATAGTGACCCTCTATAGGGTTTCCAAGGTGGGTTTGAACTGCTGACCTTGTGGTTAGCAGTCAAATGCTGATCCTACAGCAACACCCCACGACTCCAGGGTTCCCTACTCCCTCCCAATTGGGCCTTTACATTACTCATTTACCTGTGAGCCACAAAGTCGTTTTAAGGGTGGTGAATGAATGTTATCTCAAAAGAACCATTACTTTTCCTTATTAAAATCATTTTTAATATAAAACACTAAAGGGAATTAATACAGAAAGAAAACTATCCATATCTCCTTCATCCTAACTCAAGAACCTCCTTTTTTTTTTTTTTTTTTTTAAATGGGTTTTGTGCCCATGGTATCCAGCTACTGACTAACAGATTGGCCAAAGCGGTTGATTGTCCCCAGAGCTTGTCCCTGGTGACATAAAGGAAGAGGGAGCAAGGTGAGTAGTTACCTGGCATTGTCATATGTCACCATGCTCCTGTTTGCTTGGGTGGCCTTCCACCTAGCGAAATGGGCCATTCTCGTGATGGTGGTCAGACTCAACAGTGTGAACGCAATTTCACCACTTCCTGCTTCCTAACCTTTGCCCTTATACAAGACCCCAGGATTCATGGGGATTCCTCTCCACCCTTTCTCTGGCATCCTAGACTCTGATTCTGGGGCTCTGGGTGCCTTTGGAATGCTGACATTATGATGTTCCTGGGAGATGCTGAGATAGAACTCGAGACCTTGTTTAGCTGGTGACCCAAGGAACTGACTTCAGTTTTGCACACACCCATATTCTTTGCCCTGACTTCACTTTGCTTACTTTTCATGCACATTCTATTGGTGTTTCCAAGCATGTGACATCTTAAGGAAATGTTTTACTTGGAAGACTAAAAAATGAGCAGGGAAGCAAACTATATTTCGGTCCTTCGATTTGAGTTGCCTTGATTTGGATATATTGTTCTCTACCACTGCGTGTCCTTATGTTTCTGTAGTAAGATTCAAAAAAGAGACAGTCAGATCTGCCCACATCCGTTGGTGGTGGTATTAAGTACCATTGAGTTGATTCCTACCCATAGCAACCTTGTAAAGACTTCTGAGGCTGTACATCATTACGGGAGCAGAAAGCCTTATCTTTCTCCTGTGGAATGAATGGTTGGTGAGTATGAACTGCTGACCTTACGGTTAGAGGTCCAGTGTTTATCCTACAGCGTCACCAGCATGACTGAGAGAAATGTCTGTCTTGACAACAGTGCCCACCAGTGCCAATATCGAAGTAGAAGTAAGTGATAGGTAACAGCAGCTGGCATTTTGAGATTGCATTAGGTTGTGTGCCCAAATACCTCCCTGACTGCATCTTCAATAGCCCTCAGTTTGTGGGTTCTATCAGAGGAGACTGTGAGGACAAGGTCTTGGAGCCTAGGCGAAGCTCTCAACACTGGGGATAACCCTCCTGTGGGCTTCTCAGCTTGACCATTTGCAAAGTGGGAATTACAGCAATTTCTTTGCCTGTCTCTAAAGATTGCTTAAAATTTGAATGAAAGAACATAAATGAAATTTACATTGCCCAAAGTGCTGGTGTTGTTGTTTGTTACCAAGGGGTGGACTCCAACTCATGGTGACCCCATATTATCAGAGAGGAAGTGTGCTTCGTAGAGTTTTCATGTCTGGGAACTTTCTGAAGGAGATCTTTGGTCCTGTCTTCCAAGATGCCTTTTCTTGTTGTTGTTGTTAGGTGCCATCGAGCTGGTACCGATGTATAGTGACCCTATGTACAGCAGAACGAAACACTGCCCAATCCTGGGCCAACCTCACAATTGTTGCCATGCTTGAGCCCATTGATGCTGCCACGTTCCCAATCCTGGGGGTCTTCCTCTTTTTCTCTGACGCTCCACCTTATCAAACATGATATCCTTCTGCAGAGACTGGTCCCTCCTGACAATATGTCCGAAGTATGAGAGATGAAGTTTGGTCATCCTGGCCTCCAAGGATCACTCTGGCTGTATTTCTTCCAACACACATCTGTTGGTTCTTTTGGCAGCCCATAGTATTTTCAATATTCTCCTCCAACACCATAACTCAAAAACATCAATTCTTCTACGGTCTTCCTTATTCACTGTCCAGCTTTCACATGCATATGAGGTTATTCAAAATACCATGGCTTAGATCAGATGCACCTTAGTCCTTAAGCTACGTCTTTGCTCTTCAGCACTTTAAAAAGGTCTTGTGCAGCACATTTGCCTAAGGCAATACTTCTTGACTGCTGCTTCCATGAGTGTTGATAGTTGATCCAAGAAGAATGAAGTCCTTGACAATGTCAATCTTTTCTCCATTGATAAAAATATTGTTTATTGGTATTTTTGTTTTCTTTACATTGAGATGCAATCCATTCCGAAGACTGTGGTCTTTGATCTTCATCAGTAAGTAATTTTAAGTCTTCTTCACCTCTGGGTGAGTTCAAACCACCAATCTTTTGGCTAGTAGTTGAGGGCTTAACCATTTGTGCCACTGTATAAAGGTCTGTAAAAAGGTTACTGTAAGAACATTGTACAAAAATGAGGATCTGTTGTCATACATACATGATCACTCAAGGAAACTACCTTAATTTAACCAATGATCTGAGCAAGATCAAAGAGAATCATAAAAATATTTTTTTGTTCAACTTAAGCAAAATACTAAGAACACCCTTGTTTAGAAATGTTGATAATTGTGTAAGTTGAGTGCTGAGTACAAGGGATTCTCACTACTGTTTTAGCTATATAATTTTGTTTTATTTTTGTTGTTGTTGTTGTTGAGAATATACACAGCAGAACATATATCAACTCAATATTTTCTACGTTTACAATTCAGTGACACTGATTACATTCTTGGAGTTGGGAAACCATTCTCAGCCTCCTTTTCTGAGTTCCCATTAACGGAAATGCAAGTTTTCCGTCTAACCTTTCAAGTGACTGTTGTCAGTTTGTCCTGTAGAGATAGATCTTAGAAGACCACAATGCTCAAGACAGACTTTCTTTACAAGTTAAGCCTAACTACTGTTTGGCTTTAAGAGACTTCAGGACATACTTTTGGTTTAATCTTTTAAATTTATCTTTGGGCAATAGTTTCAGGGATTTATCCAGTTTCCATAGCTCCAAATGTCTAGACCATGAAAATATGAAATTCTGTTCTGCATTTTCTCCTTTTTGTTCAAAATGTTCAGAAATGGTAAGTGGTCACCATTCAGCTCTTCTAGTCTCATGACCTAAGAAGTAGCTCTTCCTGGAAGAACCAGCCACACATTCTTTCCCCCTCTTATTCCTCTGCTGCTCCACATGGAGCCAACGTCCCGTTGTTGCTCCTTGGATGACCACGTGCAAGCTTTTAAGAGCTCAGGCAGCTATCTGGCCAAATGGTTGGGGTAGATCCATATTTGTGCCCATTCCAAAGACAGATGACCTAATGGAATGCGGAAATCATCGAACAATACCATTAATATCATTGTTGTTGTTGTTAAGTGCCGTTGAGTCAGTTCCAACCCATATGCCAGTAAAATTTTGCTGAAGATAACTAAAAAATGGTTGAAGCAGTGTATCAACAGGAAGTTGCCAGAAATTCAAGCTGGAATAGGAGGAGGACATGGAACAATGTGACATCAAATGGATCATTACTGAAAGAAGAAAATACTGAAAAAAGTTAACTTGTGCTTTATTGACAATGCAAAGACATTTGATTGTGTGAATCATAACAAATTACGGCAAACATTGTGAAAAATGAGTATTGGGGAACACCTAAACCTGTATATAGACTAAGAGGCAGCTGTTTGAATAGAACAAGGGGATACTGACAGGTTTAGAATCAGGAAAGGTGTGTGTCAGGAGTGCATCTGTTCATCACACTTATTCAGTCTGTATGCTGAGCAAATAATCTGGGAAGTCGGATTCTGTGAAGAAGAGCGGGCTATAGGATCGGAGGAAGGTTTATCAATAACCTGATATGCAGATGACATAACCTAGCCTTCTGGAAATGAATAGGACTGAAAATACTTGCTGATGAAGATCACAGGCTACAGCCTTCAGTATAGATTACACCTTAATGTGAAGAAAACAAAAATCCTCACAACTGGATCAATAAATAGCTTCATGGTAAACAAAGAAAAGACTGAAATTGTCAAAGACTTCATTTTGCTTGGATCCACCATCAACACTCATGGAAGCAGCAGGCAAGAAATCAAACTATATATTGCATTTGGCATCTTGCTGCACAAGACCTCTTTAAAGTGTTGAAGAGGAAAGATGCCAGTTTGAGGACTAATGGGTGCCTAACCCAAGCCATGGTATTTTCAATTGCTTCATATGTATGTGCAAGTTGTACGTACAATGAATAAGGAAGACCACAGAAGAATTGATGTGTTTTAATTATGGTGTTGGAAAAAAATATTGAAAGTTCCATGGATTACCAGAATAACAGACAAATCTGTCATGGAAGAAGTGCAGCCAGAATGCTCCTTAGAAGCCAGGATGAAGCGACTTCATCTCTCTTACTTTGGACATGTTATTGTTGTTGTTGTTATGTGCCATGGAGTCAGTTCCGACTCATGGTGACCCTGTACAGGGTTTCTGAGGTTGTAAATCTTTACGGGAGCAGAAAGCCTCATCTTTTTTCCATGGAACAGCTGGTAGTTTCGAACTGCTGACCTTGCGGCTAGCAGCCCGATTCGTAACCACTACGCTACCAGAGAAGTGCAGCCAGAATGCTCCTTAGAAGCCAGGGTGAAGGGACTTCATCTCTCTTACTTTGGACATGTTACTAGGAGGGAGCAATCCCTGAGAAAGACATTATGCTTGGAAAGGTGGAGGGTCAGCGAAAAAGAGGAAGACCCCTAGTTAGATGGATTGTCACAATGGCAGTGACATTAAATTCAAACAATTGTGAGGACAGTGCAAGACTGGGTAGGGTTTTGGTCGGTTGTGCATAGGGCTGCTTTGTTCTAAGTCAGAAAGAATTCAAAAACATCCAACAACAGGAGATAGAACAGAAATACTCTTTATTAGGCCATCTGATGGGGATCTCCCATCAAACCTTGACCCTAAACCTCCAAACCTCACTACTTTTTTCTGTTTGAAAATTTCTATTATAACAAAAATTTTTACAAATTCTTCCCTGTTTGGCTTTTAAAGGTTAGGTGGTTGTTACTGTTGCTAAGTTCCTTCAAGTTGGTTCTGACTCATAGCAACCCTGTACAAAGTTTCCGAGGAGCAGCTGCTGGGTTTGAACTGCTGACCTTGTGGTTCGCAGTCCAGTGCTGTAGCACTGTGATTAAAAAAGGATTCAGTGGGCACAATATCTGAGTTCAAATGTAATTTCTGTTACTAGCAGTAACTTGGATACAAGTTATTTGACCTATCTGTGTCTTGATGGTCTAATCTATAAAAGGAGGATGCTAACAGTACCTGGAAGGAGCTCTGGTAGCGTAGTGGTTACGAATCAGGCTGTGAGCCTCAAGGTCGGCAGCTCGAAACTATCAGCTGTTCCACGGGAGAAAGATGAGGCTT